TTATGGCCAAAACGTGTCATAAATAGTGCTAAGTCCCTTTTAATAATAAGTCAAAGAGCCATCCAAGTGCTTGTGAAATAGAGATTATTATTAGTTGTTATCTTTTGGTTTTATGCTCTGCTGACATCAAGTGACGGCCAAATATGTAAAATTCACTTCCAGCTGTGCCAACAGAAAAACCATCTGAATGTTCTGATTTGCATCACAGACAGTCAGAAAATATTCCTCCACAGCTGTGTGTGTGTGTGTGTGTGTGTGTGTGTGTGTGTGTGTGTGTGATGAGTATGCGATGAGTGTGCAATGAGTTCGCTCACTTTTTCTCTTGTGTAGTCACATCAATTTTGGAAGCTTCTAGAAGATTGTGCAAAAGTCTTAAGCCACCCCTTCATATGTCTTCATATTATTCCATCTGACACCTAAGTTCACAGCCTGAACTGTCTTAGGCAGCTAACTTCTTTACGTAGTTTTCAGGAATGGTTCTTCAGGCTTCTTGAAGGACACTCAAAGCTCTTCTTTGGATGTTGGCTGCCTTTAGATGATCTTACACTGCTTCAAGTATATTGAGCTTTGGGCTCTGGGGAGGCCAATCCCTGACTGATAGTGTGTCACTTCTGGGTTTTTCTGTCCAGGTGTGCTTTTACTACACTGACAGTGTGTTTGGGGTCATTATCATGGTAAAAAATAATGAAGTTGTTGCCAGTCAGACACTTTACACATGATATTGCATAGTGAATCAAAATCTAATGGGACTTTCTGTCTTCATTATTCCATCAATTTTGACAAGATCTCCGACACCTCCGGCTGAAATGCAGCTCCCAACCATGACAGAGCCTCTACCATGTTTTACAGATGGCCGTAGACCCATCTCCTGACTTCCTCCAATACATATTGTCAGTGATTTGAACCAATAATGTAAAAAATTGGATTCATCACTCCATCAAACCTGTTTCCACTGATTTTCAGTTTTTAGTTTCTCCCTACTTTGCTTAAGAAGGTCCACTGAGACATTTGTGATGAGGCTTCAGTGAACAGTAGATGGATCAACTGAAGAAGGCCTGGAGAGTGATTGCTCAAGACCAATTTAAGAAATAAGTCCGGCTCCTTGGAAGCAAAATATGCTTATTTTACTGACATAAAATAGTGGCTTTGACTGTAAAATAGACAACAGTGCAGGAGATGAAAGGAGCGATTCATCCTATCTAAATAAAATCTTAAGTGAACAATCAAATCTACAAAAGCTACATGTGCTACAAACAGAAACATCCTGCAATAAAGCGAAGATGAGGTTAGCAATCTCTTTAACTGCATCCCAGGAAACTGTTACGTGCAGGGAGAAAAGGACCCAAATGCAAAGCAAAAGCATAAAAGAGCAGAACTCAAACACAGAACGACAATGAGGCACGCGATCCAAGCAGAGAGCAGGAACAGTCCATCACAAATGCTGTCCACAAAGAAGACAGCCAGAGGAGTGTACTGCAAAGGATGATTCACAGCAAACTGACTTCAGGGTAAACCCTGTGTTTTCATTGTTATGAAGGTCCCGCTGCCTTCCCTTCCATTACAAAAAGCAGCCTTACTAAACAGTCCTCACTCGAGCACATGTGATGTGATGAAGAAAGAAAAGTTATAAATAGGAAGACAACAAACAACTCGGAGTGGAAAATGTACAGATGAAGAGATATACAATTAAATCACACAAAAATACACAACAAATGTTAATATAATTATTAAAAGTCAGACAAATGCGTTTTTAGAAGACAACTTAAATAAGGTAGAGATGGAGAATATATTAAAAACAAAAGTGCATTTCAATCTATATAACAATAAAAAGTTGACTCATTGTAGTTCATCAAGTTTGGTTTTAGACTTATAAATGCTTCACACTCAGCACAAGTTACCTCCACCTCTCTAAACCCCGTCACCACTGCAGGGTGGAGTAACACACCAATTTCCCTTCAGCTGGGACGTGTGCTGAACATCACTCAGCTCCAAATTGAAGCCTTCCTTCATTCCTTTGGTGTTATTAACCGGCATTAAATCTCTCCACAGACTTATCCTGCCAGGCAGCAGGAAACAAGCAAGCTCAACAGGAAGTACAGCCTGACCGAGAGGTGAGCCGCTTCCTTCTTCTCCCGCACCTTTTTTTTTTCCTTCTTCTTTCTGACCTGGTTATCTTCACGTATTTGCTCACGGCCTTTCTTTTCACTCGCTCCATCCCCTGTGTGGTTCTCCGGAGGCGTTTAGGTGCGGTCGGGCCATTGTGCACTGGCGGGCGGAAATCCCACTCAGTCATGCCCGGCTGTGATTTGCCTGTAATGAGCTCTAAGTGTGTGGAGTAATCACGCGTGCTCGAAATGTGACCATAATGATATGTGGTTGGATGTATGTTAGCGGGAGGGGCATTTAGGACGCATAGTGCTCGTTAAAGGGCCTCTGCTCGGATTTGACCAGAGACAGAAACGGTTCAGTGAGCATGGTATGCACAAAGGAAACATTTACTGTAATTGAACCACTTTCACTGTCTCTGTGTTTTTGTTCCTGATGTGCTTTTTTTCAGGAATACTCCCTCTGGAAATGTCCATCTTGTCTTTTGTTACTCGAACTTTGATTGTTTTTATTTAGCAGTTTATTTTAACAGGAAGACTCAATTTTGGGGGGCAAATAAACTGTTTCCAAAAGCATTTTCAAAACTTTAACAGTATACACACTTTACAAATAGACCACAATGTCATCAGAAGAATTTGTGAAAAATGTGGCATTTGGAACCAATTCAAAACAAAAATTTCAACCCAACCTGCTCTAAACCACCTTTTCTGTTCAGTTAGAAGGTTTGAAGCACGTTTTCTCTCAGCAGCAACTCCTGTATTTCAGTTTTAAATAGAGGATCAAAGATGCATGTGTTTTGTGACGTGCAACTGTAAGAAAATCCTGCCAGCATGCATAAAAGCAAGTACAATGCTCACGATTTCAGTCTGTATAAATGCAGTCAATAACTGGCACACACTTCATTTTATTTTTGCTTCTTTGATAAAGGAAAATTTCATTACTTAGGGTGTAAATGGCCTGTATGTGTATAGCGCTTTTACTAGTCCCCAAGGACCCCAAAGCGCTTTACACATCCAGTCATCCACACATTCACATACTGGTGATGGCAAGCTACATTGTAGCCACAGCCACCCTGGGGCGCACTGACAGAGGCGAGGCTGCCGGACACTGGCGCCACCGGGCCCTCTGACCACCTCCAGTAGGCAACGGGTGAAGCGTCTTGCCCAAGGACACAACGACCAACACTTTATTAAGTACACCTTGCTATTACAGTGTTGGACAGCTTTCGCCTTTGCGGCTGCTTTAATTGATCATGGTGTAGATTCAACAAGGTGCTGGAAACATTCCTCAGAGATTTGGATCCATGTTGGCATGAGAGCATCACACAGTTGCTGCAGATTTGTCAGCTCCACATCCATGAGGAGAATCTCCCGTTCCACCACATCTCAAAGGTGCCGTGTTAGACTGAGATCTGGTGACTGTGGAGGCCACTTGAGTGCGGTGAACTCATTGTCATGGTCAAGAAACCAGTTTGAGATGATGTGAGCTTTGTGACATGGTGTGTTATCCTGCTGGAAGGAGCTATCAGAAGATGGTACACTGTGGTCATAAAGGGATGGACACGGTCAGCAACAATACTCTGTGGGGTTTAAATGATGCTCAGTTGGTACTAAGGGGACCAACGTGTATCGACACACTGTTACACCGACACCAGCCTGAACCATTGATACAAGGAAAAACCTCAGCATGCCATCTAAATGTCATGTGAATTGTAGCCCCAGTCTCCTGGTCTTAGCTGACAGCAGAGGCACTCTGTGTGGTCTACTGCTGCTGTAGCCCATCTTCTGCATACCTTGGATGCAACGAGTGGTTACTTGAGTTGCTGTTACCTTCCTATCGGCTTGAAGCAATCTGGCCATTCTTCTTCACCCACCCACTGTTTTCCTCTCTGGACATCCTCTCTTTTTAGACCATTCTCTGTACACCACAGAGATGGTTGTGTGGGAAAATCCCACACAAATCAGCTGTTCCTGAAATACTCAGACCAGCCCGTCTGGCAGCAACAATCATCCCAAACTCAAAGTCACTTAAATCTCATTTCTTCATCATTCTGATGCTCAGTTCATGCAGTCTTTGGACATTGTCATAATAAATGTTTTTTGCAGTCATTTGGCGTTTGAACTGAACTGTTTTTGTTCAAATTTAGACAAAAAGAAACCGAAGAAGTTTTTAAATTGTAAATTTCAGGCTTTGTCAAAGTTAGAAATATAGAAATCACCGGCAAAGGCTGAAAATTCACGTGGTGTGAATGTGAGAAACAGCTAGGCTGGCTCTGTCTCTGATTAGTGTTGACTAAGCCTTTCATCCTCAGCTGAGCTCTGTTACAAGGAATTTGTGTCGCGATGTTTCTGAGCTCTTCCTTTATCTATAAGCTTGGCTCACTCTCTATTTATTTATAAAATAACCTTTCTTGTGTCACTCTATTTTCTCCACAACAAAAGGGACTATCCAAGTTGGAGGCGGGAGTCCAGACCTCCAGAGAACATCGGTCAGTACCAGCAGCACCTGCAGCAGCCTCGATGGGGCCTCAGACACACAGACAGCAGCACCGATGACCACAACGGCTATGCCTTTGCACCTCCACCAGCTCCTCTTTATCTCAGAGGTCGAGCCATGTCCGAAAACGACCTCCGCTTCGACAGCAGCCAGCGCTGGTCCCCTTCAATTTCCATGGCAACCAGCCAGACCCTGAGTGAGGTGGAGGAAGGCAACATGAGGCGTGGAGATGCATCGAGTGTTTCCAGGCAAAACAGGAAGAAGACACCCCCTCCTCCAAGACCACCACCCCCAAAGTGGGAGCAGTTCCACCGCCGGCGAGCGTCTCACCACGCCCTGTTCTCCTCCTCATCTGCTTCTGCTGCTCCTCACTCCATCCCTGCCTCCTTCAACTCTCCAGGGGCTCACTATTCAGCTCACTTGTCCACCTACGTCCCTCCACCTGACACCTCCAGGCAGAGGTCCTTCAGTCTTCCTCCAGAGAGGCAGGAAGTGGTGGAGGGCGGGTGCCCGAGATGCAGCTGCAGTCAAACCCAGGAACGCACAATCACCCCGTCCAATCAGAATCAGCCTCAGTTTCAGGAACGCCTCATTACCGTTGCTCCGCCTAGCCCCATGTTCTCGAGGAGGGGATTCAGGCCGGTGGCTCCGCCCCATAAAGAAAGGGAGGCTGAATCACCTCTGCCGCCTCCACCGCCTCATCCTCCTTCAGTAGCAAAGGAGAACAGTGTGAGCAGGTGAGACTGGAGAAAATGCTGAGGTTTATAAATAACTTTGTTTTTTCATTAAATGTTGAATTATTTATTTTAGAAAAGTCAGAAAAACAAGAAGAAAAAACTTTTGCATAACAAAACAAGAAAATGATCGATTCCTGTTCTCAGGCATAGAAAACCAGTAAAGATCAATATTTGATGGGCTAATATCAGTCACTGTTAATATTTTAATCAGTGTTGGGCAAGTTACTTTGACAAAGTAATTAATTATAGTTACTATTTACTTTCTACTTACTAGAGTTAGTAACTGAGTTCCAAGATTCTAAAAGTAATTAATTACTTGAAAAGTAACTATTGCTATACTTTAAAAAAAATCTTTAACCCTCTGGTCCAGGGTATAATTGGCCATTTTTGACTACTTTTGATTTTCTCTCTACATTTTACCTTTAAAAACTATTTACTTTGCCTTGTTTGGTTTCATC